CGGCTGACCCCATTTATTTTGCCGAGCCGTATTAAAAAGAGAATAGGAGAGGGCGAGGAGGGCAGTTTTCACTGCTGGGAAGCCGTGGGGGAGGGGGGAGAGTCGCCCCCAAACGCCGGGGAGAGGGCTTGAGGGGCGCGGGGAAGCGGAGCAACTTTCAGCCCCGGGTACCTGCCCTGCCCTTCCCTCGCTGCTGGGGGAGCAGCCGGGGGCTAGCTGCTTCCCAGAGCCCTCCCCAGCTCAGCCATGGGAAAGGGATGCACGATTCAGCTTCAGCTTTGCTCTCCCAGCCCTAAAAACCCAGCTAGCAGCAGAGGCATCCTCCAAACCAGCTTATGTGGGGGAGGCGTGAGGGGGGATTAGCCTTCAGGAAAAAAGAAAAATCTATTTTAAAAAATCGAACCCCAAATTCAAGCGAAAACTTACCGAGACCACCAAATCCCCATCCCCCAAGCTTTTCCTAAAAGAGGCTGGAGGGGAACTTGTTGAGCCTTTATCCAAACCAGAAACAAAACCAAGCAGGACTGAGAATAACGGTCCTGGTCTCTGGTAGCTGCAATAAGAGACGAAGGCTCCGAGTGACTGCTGATAATCTAAATCATGTACTTCTCTCTTCCAGACAACATAGGGGGACCGGAAGGGAAAAGGGCTCGGACTGCTTACACCCGCTATCAGACCTTGGAGCTGGAAAAGGAATTTCACTTCAATAGATACCTGACCCGCAGAAGAAGGATTGAAATAGCACATGCTCTTTGCCTCTCAGAGAGACAAATAAAGATCTGGTTCCAAAACAGGAGAATGAAATGGAAAAAGGATAATAAGCTGAAAAGTATGAGCATGGCAGCTGCAGGAGGGGCATTCCGTCCCTAAGCGGTTGATCAGTTAAAAGTACTGAGCAGTATTAGCTGACCCTGCGTCTCATGTCAGTACTAAGTTGACTTTCTAAAACTTCCGTGTGCTACTTCTGTGAAGAAACCCTGTTCTTGTCGCCCTTATTCATCTTTTAATCATGAGCCTGTTTATTACCATCCTCTCGCGTGTATAAGTAGATCTGCTTTTATCGTACATTTCTTTGTCTTGAATGGCTTTGTCTTGAAAAAAATAATAGATGTTTTAACTTATTTATATGAAGCGAGCTGTGTTACTTGAAGTAACTGTTAAAACAAAACTAAACAAAAAGAACAACAAAAAAAAAGAACATTAAAAAAAAAAAGGAGAGAGAGAAAGAAATCCTCCCCCGGTTTAGTACAAATGTTATGTGTTGCACTCAACCTACTTAACTGTGCATGTGTGGTCAAGTGTTAATGTCTGTATAGCTCCAAGCTGTTAAAAATATTTTTATTCAAACTACCTATATAATTCCTGTGTAATTAATGCTGTTGTAGAGGTGAAATGATGAAATCAACTGAACTTGTCCTACGTGTAGTGAATAGTGAATCTGTGACGAAAACTGTGATTCCAAGCAGTATGTCCTTGCTGTGCCTTTGTATATGACTCTTTGCACGAACTCTTAGAAGTGGCTCTTATTAAGCGCAGCTTCTGTGATGTATGTTTTTTGTGAACAAAGTTACAAATATAGTCAAAGTCTGGCTGTTTGAGCAAACTGTGATCAGCTTTTTTTTTTTTTTGTATTTGTTTTTAAAAAAACTGACTGGAAATCAAAAAAAATAAACTTTCTATTGTAAAGTTTTCGTCATCTGGTTTGTGCAAAGCAAGAAGTTGTGCTTCCTGATTTGCCTCTGAAAAAAAAAAAAAAATTAACCCGTGCAGAATTTGCAATAATATTTTACCTGGCTCCTGCTGCACGTTGCAAATGGTAGATGCTGCGGTTGTCCGCTACCAGTATTTTTAATTTAAAGTTTAATCCTAAATTCCTCTTTGCTAGTATCTCGCTAGGTGGAAAGCTGCATCGCAGGACCACAATCAACACCCTTTGTGAGTGAATCAACTGTTAGCTGTTTGCTGATGGTTGAAAAACAAAACAAAACAAAACAAATAATGTGCTTTGTTAAAACACGCTACTAACTCCAAGACGTGTTTGCATCGCTCTAGAATTTCTCCTGTGGTTTTCTTAAGCATATTTGCAGGACGGCCACGTCCGAGCCCTCTGCGCGTAGTAGTAACCCTCGCTAGCCACATTCCCACTTTTCACCCTTTAAAGATTTTTGGTTTTCTTCGCTACGGTTAGTTTGCTATAAACGTAATGTTACTTACCCCATCAGAGCTTGAATGGTTAACTCTTCTGAGCTTCTAAGAGCAACTAAAGATTTGCACATTTACTGACTGGTTACATTGATGCCTTCCCTTAAAAGTTATAAAACAGTAAACTTTATAAGCCCCAGTTCCGGCTATATGACATTTGGGTGCCAAATGAATAGGGTTTTGTCTATGAATTAGATCGTAAAATCATCCATAGCACAGACAGATAGGCTCACTGGCTATAAAAAGTCACGTGGTGCCATTAAAGTAAGTTTTATGGTTTTGGGGAGTTGACATCCAACATTATATACCACATAACATATAATCTCACTGACGCTGGACTTCATTTGACTCTTTTGCAGGCTACGTGTGCCTCCTGGCCATTCAAATTGTCAGGTTTAGGGACAGAAGTATCCAAACCACAAGTTCTCAATACTGTATGAAAAATGGCTCCTTGCAAGTCAAAGGTAAGTTTTGTGCACAAGTTCCTTAAAGTTTATTTGTACAGTGGGGAAGCCGAGGCTCCCGCTCGCTCTTGCTGCCTCTCGCCTCTCTTTCTTTCTCTTTCTCTTCCCCTTCCTTTCCGCCTGGAGCTTTTCAGGACGGTCCCACCGAGCCCGAGAGGCAGGATCAACCACTAATGATCCAGGTTGCGCTGCAAATCCTGCCCCCCCACCCCCCCATCCCTTCACTCGCAGCAGCTCGCTCTCTATTTTAACGATCAAATCAAAGTAAACCACAATAAGCGACTTTGGCAGAGATGGATTTTGGGGCCTAGCTTTAATCACTTTGACTACCGCAGAAGATAATTACTTCCTTTGCTCCAATAGACTCTCCAAGTTTGGAGAGGTTTTGTTTAGCGAAGAGTAGTTACTGCAGGCGATTAAAAAAGGGGAAAGAAAATAGATAGGGCTTGATATTATCTGGGCAGTGTCTTCTGTAGACATGATAGAGTTAGAGGCATGCTGATATGGTAATAATCTTTGGATTGGTGAAATATGTTGCACATCAGAGCTAGTATTAAAATGGCACAGACTGTACCGGAGCCCTTCAGATTCATATTTTCTGCACTGGGTTGTGCAGAAAGCTGTGTGTATATGTCCATCTGCAAGCGCGTGGTGTGTTTCAGAGATGCGCATTTATAATGTTGCTGTAACTTTTTCCAAATCCTACATGTAATTGCATAAATATAAATATATTTAAATTATGTACTCATGTGCATGCATGTATAAATAGACGTATACGCCTGTGTAAAGCTGTGCACGTGCATACGTGTGTCTAATATTGGTCTATTTATGTATACAAAGGGTGCGTACGTGTGTATACATATATACGTTCATCTGGCTCTTTTTTTTTTTTTTTTTAAAGCGAACCAATTGACTGTAACTTGTAGCATTAATACAAGAGACTACAGGTCATTAGAGTGCTGCAAATTATGAAATACGGGCTAGGTTTATTGAAGATTGTAAATATCCCCCCAGCTTCTGCTCTCTCCCTCTCTGCCTTATATTGCTGGCTGCCATTGTGGGGTAGGCCCCAGCTGCGTGTTTACTTCGACATTCTTTTTATTTAAGTGGACTGTTCTCACTAGAGTGTGATTACTCAGCAATAAACTTTATGGCCGGATTTAACTTTAGTCTTTGAATTTCCAGGACTTGAATGAAAGGGTGAAAGGAACTCTGTCTTTCTCTGGGTAGCATTAAGGCCTGATCCTTATCCTTAGAGCTGTTGCTTAGGCGAGTGATCTCGGGGGGTGCACACCAACTAGTTAGGGGCTAGGGAAGAGATTTGGCAATTACTTCCAAATTACACTTATATTTCTATCTCCAAACCAGCTGCGAGTATCTTGTTCTCCGCTCAGGTTTGGAGTAGCAGAGATTCAGCAGATCGCATTGTTTTCCTTCATGTGTCATAAACTCGGGTTTGCAGAACGGAATGGTTTGCTGCGAGCTGGGAGATGGGCTTTGTTTTATTTCACTAGTGCTATCGGATTTGAACATTGTGGTTTAGGTTGTATCTGCTACTGCAAGCTAAAATGAGAAAAAGGCACAGGGGCACAGGAGGGAAAGGTGATTGTGTACTTCTGCAAGGTCTGCGCATTGCCAACTGATCCCTATTTTTAATTGATTTCCCTTTAACGTTAAAGAAACGGTAGTATATAAGGTTGGCTCAGCTCAAAGATCTCACAGTTTTACAAATATTTAATATTTCGAGTAAATCCCCTGTGTAAGACAAATGGAGTCGGAAGCCTTTGTGTCTGTGCATGTTCCTATGAACACTAAGCAAATACATATGCATATACTTTATATTTAAAAAACGGGAAAGGCTTTAAAAATGTGTATCCAAATGCACATTTGAAAATCATTTCCGCAATAAACAGCTGGAGATTTTATAAGACACTAGCTGTCACATTTTTGTCAATAGGAATACCAGAACGTTATATATGATAGCCATATATTATGCTATATTATATGCATAAAATTTTATAGTTTGAGGCAAAGGCATGAAAACCCTTTAAAAGTTTGGGTTTCTTTTTATATATGAGTTCTTTTCCAAGGAAAATCTTTCGCTTGTAGCAGGGAATGGTACTAGACACAAACCATTCGCGATTACTCAATATTCAACAACACTACGTTATTTGAATTATCCAGCGAAAACACAAGCATACACGCACACCCGTTCGACTAATATTTTAGGAACCTGGATATCATCGCGGATTGTAATTTTTCATTGTCTAGCTCAAGAAGATTTGCTACTACGTATTTTCATCTTTTTGAACGTGGCTTCTGCAGCATATTCCACATAAAGCAGTGTACAGAGATTCAAGAACTACGGAAAATAAAAGCATCCCCAAACCCCCAAGCATATTAACCCGCCCGTACTGCAAGAAACTCTTTAACAACAAAAGCAAGTTAGCCAGAAATGACAGCTTCTCCGTATTTCTGGCCCTGCCCTGTCCTAAGCGGGACAGTTGAAGCCATTCAAGTCCAGAAACGCGTTAAGATTTTCTAATCAGTTTCGAATTTTGAAATTCAATCGCAGACTGCCGAACTCTACCAAAACATTCCCAGGTCCTAATTGTTTTCCGAGGGAAAACGTCGTGGAGAATAATCGCTGGGTATCAGGAGAGAGGTCTTATCTGCGCACGTTATTTTGCTGCTGTTTTTGGGGGATTAATGCGCGTGAAGTTTGGTTTAGTTCAGGCATGGCAAGTAGCGTTCTACGATTTGAAATGTAGTTCACCTAATCCTTTGAAAGAAATACCTGAGTGTAGTGTGTCATGTCTAAGCGTAAGGCCAATTAAAGATTAGGCAACTCTCTTAATGTACCTAGTGACTTTGCAAGGCATAACTTTCTCTAAACCAGAAGTATAAGAATCCGATGGAAAATCATCCGTAAATTACAGCTCTGCAGCCTTGTCTAATCCCTGCAAACGCCCTAATTGCAGAACATTACGGGGAAATTATTATTCTGCCATTTCCTTACATTTAATAAGTGTGTATCTGTGGAAGGGTGACAACAGAGGAGTTTGCAATCTGCTCCATGGGAAATTGAATGGAACAGATCATGAGGGGCGGATCAGGAGGTTTCGATTTCAAACCCTGGATACTGGAGCAATGCCTTTTCCCTCCCCGCAAATACAGATTTAACGCATTAAATGCAGACATAAGTAAATCCTGACCAAGTTAAGACATCGCTTTGCTTTCTTAGCTCTTTCTCTTTCCCGCCTTTAAAATCACCCCGATTCGTTGCTGCAGTTGCTAGCCAGAGTGCAAAAACACAGCTCCCACAGCCGCCTGGTCATCTTCGAAAATATTATCCCTTTCAAATTAGAGCATCCTCACTAATGTCTCTCTGGAAGGCAAATACTCATGGACCATCGCAGTCACATGTTCCTGCAACTACACGCAGAAACAATATCAAATCTGACATAGAGAGCGTGTAAAATTCGCAAGGATTTCGCCTTCTAGCACGCGTAAGGAATCTTTCCTATATCCTCTCCCCCCCAAAAAATGTCTTTTCAATAATAATATTTGCTATGAAGGTTATTGGGTAATTATTGCAATTTTGTGGAACAGTCCTTGCTTGAGGTGAAGTCTGTCTCTGGATAACAAATGGCAGCCCGTGCAGTTCACTGCCAGGTTAAGTAAATG